CCTCTCTCTTCCTCTTTGCCCTCTTGGTAGCCACATGGCCTTTGTTCAGTCCAGCAAAAAGCCCGGTACTGGCCTCTTTCTGAGCTATTCCTTGATCCTGTGATACAATATTGAGAATAAATAGTTGAGAGTAAGATTTTTCAAAGAATATAGTTGAGAATTAGAGGGGAGAAATGATCTCTCACTTTGGTAAGGGTTCTTTACATGGCTTTTTTATTTGTGCTGAATGTAAATATTTCTAGGATGTGGCAAATCAGATTTGCTTGATTTCCATTTAGTCTGAAGTGTGTAGGCTTATTGGTTTGTTCTAATAACCCCACCTCACTACATACCAAGGTGTTTTTCTCATTGTGGGTATCCATATTCTATGTGGTAATGTCCCTACTGTTGACAAATAATATACTCAAAGTGAGTTAGGCAGGAGTAAAATAATGAAGCAAGCAAGCTCCCCCTAAGAATATGCATATTGAAAATACTCACTTTGAACTTTTTCTTGTGTTTATGAAAGTTTAAGTTAGATGCAATTAGTTGCACCACTTTGAAGTATACATCTTCTCCCCCTATCAAAATAAATTAAGAAATGATAGTTTGGAGATCATTGGGCAAAAGGTGCATTTACAACAAAACTCCCCCTAAAGATAAAACTCCCCCTAAAATGATGCAAATTTAAAAACTTTATTTTTCAGGGATTTTTAGGGATCATTTTCTAAAAAAGCATGATTTAAAGATGAATTTAAAAAATATTTAATCATGCAAACCAAGGCTAAAGTAAATGAAAGCACGTGTGGGATAAGGTTTTATTTTTAAAAATAATTAAAACCAAACAAAATATCTTATCCCAATAAGTGAGAAGAACTTACCTTGGCTTATGCCGCTCTTTCTTCGGCTTTGAATATACTTCTTTCTCTTTTGATTTTCTCCGTCTTGAGTCTTCAAAAAATTTCCATTGGAGAAAGCTATTGTATTTCTTCCTCATTACTCTTTCTTCGTCTTCTTCATCTCTTGACGAATTAGAGTCCTCGGATGTTTCATCCGTCTCACTTGACTCATCATTTGAGTCACTTGAGTCATCACTAGACTCATCCTTGGATGCCTTGAACGCATTGGTTCGTTTTGGGTCTTCTATCAGATATTCTTCTTTCATCTTAATCATCAAAAGCTCGTGAGAATACAAAGAAGACCAAATGTGGGTGGTGCTTTCCGTTGCACATTTGGGTAAAAGATCTACAATACTACTATGCCATTCTTTTGGCAAAGAAAGTAAAATTTTAGTATTTAGTTCACTTGTAGAATATTCCTTACCCAACGTACCCAACTTGTTGATTACTTCATTGAACCTTCTATTGGCATCTTGGATTGACTCGTGTTGGCCAATTTTGAAACTTTCGTACTCCGAGTTTCCGAGGGCCAACATGGTTTGCTTCGTGGAGGTGTCGCCTTCATGCGTGGCTTGAAGCAAATCCCATACCTCCTTGGCCGTTTTGCACGAGCACACACGTGCAAACTCATCGGGTCCAAGGGAGCAATGAAGGATGTTCATCGCCTTCGCGTTCATGGACAATTTTCTCTTGTCCTCCGAGGATAGCCCTGCAAAATCACCGTTTCTCGGCACAAATGGCCCGTGAAGTACATTCAACCATAAATCAAAATCAATTGATTGAATGAAATATTCCATCCGCATTTTCCAATAAGAATAGTTTTGACCATTGAAAAACGGAGGGCGGTGAATGCTTTGAGAATCCATTTGAGCCATAAATTTGAATTTTTTATAAAAAAAATTAGGGAAAATAAATATTTGAGATTTTTAAAATTCAAATTCAAAAAGGACACAACAAGTGGATATTTGTCGTAGGTGCGGTTAAGCACTTTTAACTAAAAAAACCGCTCCGATACCAATTGTTAGTCGGTTTAGTCGTTGTGCCTACGCCTTAGAGGGGGGGTGAATAAGGCGTTTTAAAATCTTTTCGGAGTTTAATAAAAACAGTGTTGGCAAATGCGGAAGCAATATATAAAACGCAGAAATAAAAGTGTAAATAAAATGCACACCGATTTTATACTGGTTCGGGAACTCCCTACTCCAGTACCTCGAGGCTCCTCCTCAAGGATTTCCGAATCCACTAAGTCCCGGTCTCTTGAACTCCGTCAAAGCACCACACTAGTTTGGCAAACAACCCTTGCCAATAGGATTCACTCCGAGATTTCACCACGGCTATCTCGAACCGTTTACAACAAAGATTTAACGGCGATCTTCTACCGTTCCCCCAAGGATTTCAAAGGCTATCCTTGAACCTTTACCCAAGGATTTATACGGCTATCCTTGACCGTTACAACGTGAGAATTTAACGGCAATTCTCAACCGTAAGAAGGTGTGTTTGAAGAACACAAAAGAGGATTCTACACAACGGCTAGAATATAAAAATGAAGAACAAAACTTAGCCGGTGTAGAAAGAAAGTATACTCTCTCAAAAATACAATTCAAACTTATGAATATGAGAGTATATAACTAGAAACACAAGCTCAAAGTGTGTGTATAAAAATCAGGAATTTAAGGCTCTTAAAATAGCCAAAATATTGAAAATAATTAATAGAAGGATGAACACACTTGGAATAAAAAGAGAGGATGTTTAGAGCTTTGTTTCTTGTTAAAATATGAAGTATTAGGCCTATATTTATAGTGGAAGATGTTAATTAGCCGTTNGGGGGTCGCGTATCAGATTAACTCACGGTACACCTTACGGTACCCCTCACGGTACCTAGGTACCTTATGACCATTTTGACAATTTTTTCATTTTTGTCCAAATCATTTCCAATTTTGTTTAAAACCTTTTGAATGTTTGAAAATGATTATAAAAGGGTTTTAAACATATTTTGTGAGTGTTTTTGAGCTTGTGAATATAGGTATATAAAATCATATCCTTACATCGGTTTCTACCTAAATTCTACGCTAGTTTAGTGTTTCGACTTCATTCTTGAGAACCGAATCTTAATGGATTCTTGTTGTACCTGAAACACTTAAACAAACGTCAAGCTCTTATATTGTTTGTTAACATCAAAACATGAGGCTTAGCAAACCAAGGCTAACACCTACATCAACTTTTGAGTTGAATGAAGCAAAAGGGACAGAAATTGGGAAGTAGCAGAACTATGTGACAAATAACTGAAATAAGTCATCTTTGGCTTGCTGCTGATTTCACATTGAGAGAAGCTCTTTCTCTTCTTATAGATCAGGATAATCAGATGAGAGAACAAACGGATACACAATTAAAGGGAGAATAGAACAAAATAAAATTTGCTTATTTGTGATCACCCTAAATTTATCATGACTTGAATGCATAGAGCTGTCTCTGGATTTTAATTTTATTCCTATCTTTTATTTGTGGTCTTTTTCAAGTGGTCTGTTATTTGTATCTGTTTCAGGAAAAGGAGTATGTGACTCATAACATTTCTATCTCTCCCGATTAAATTCCAATGTCCAAACACACAGTTCTCTTTTTCAAAACTTTCCTGAAACTCAGCCAAGTCAAAGCGTAAATTTCTTTGCGCGACTGTGGTTTTAAATTTAACGGTCTGACAGTGCTTGATTGTTGCAGCGATTGAAGGATGGATTATATTGGTAACTGGAGTTCATGAAGAGGCTAAAGAAGATGATATACTTAATGCTTTTGGTGAATTTGGAGACGTAAAGAACTTGCATCTGAATCTGAATCGTCGCACTGGATTTGTCAAGGTGAAAACTAGTAGGATATCAAACTCCTGAAAATTTTCTAACACTCATGGCTTGTTAATAAAAATCCAGCATCCTGATTACCATAAAGCCTTGTTTTTTGTCTGGTTCCAAAGCATCATGCATAAAATGCTTGTAATTGCACATCTAGTTTTCCTTCTGTTGTGTTATTGAGTAGTTTACTAATGTTTTCCTGTAGGGATATGCTCTGGTTGAATATGAAAACTTTGAAGAAGCAAAGAAGGCTATAAGTGAGCTAGATGGGACGGAGATTCTCACTCAAACCATACATGTTGATTGGGCATTTAGCAGAGGCTCGTTCAAGAGGAGGAACTCACGGAGGTATGTTGTGAAATGCTCTGTAATTTAGTCATAATATTATGAATGCGGGAAATATCTTCTTCTTTTAAATTTTTAATGTGCAAGGAATAGTGATGTCACCATTGTTGAATTTTTGTAATAACAAAATTGTAAAATAAAAATGTAAAGAATATCCTAAAACCTTGCAATGACACTGTATTTATATGCTTTTATTGCTACATATCACAAAATTTATTATTGTTCAACACACAAAAAACAAATGAAAGCAATTGCTGAAGACCCCGGTTGATGAAAAAGCTGTAGGTATTGGAACAGACTTGGTAAAATCCCACGAAGTGGGGCTGTTAGAGGTGTGTATACCCAAACCTTACCCCTAGGAAAAGGCTAGAGGTATTAACAACAACGAACTTAGAATCCTACGGGTGTATGGACAAAGATAAAATCTAAAAAAAAACTTGCAATTCTTGAAAGAACATCCGGAGGTATATCAGAGCAAAAGAGAAAGTAAATCAAGACATTGGTATGAATGGTGAAGTGGGAATTATTGTTCACGTACCAAATTGAAATTGTGTCTTTGAAATATGTCCCAAAGCCAAGTATAGATAGACTTGCAATGCATAATAGTAATGATTCTTCTAATTGGACCATTTATTGTCTTTGCAGATCACCTCGAGTTCATCGCTCAAGAAGCCCCAGAAGAAGATATTAGTCGTCTGTGTGTTTGTTTTTTCCAAAAAAGCGATGGCGACTCTGATTTGGGAAGACACCAACTTCAGGGATGAAGGAGTGTTGTCATATCATTTCATGTTCTCAGAATTTGGATTTCTGTTTAAGACATACTGTATTTATTTCTGCCCCCCCCCCCCCACTAATTGTTTTAGCTCCAAAACAAATTTTTTTAAATTAATTATCGATTTCGAAGTTTTGTGCTGTAAATAGTTCTCCATTCCTTAGACCTGGACACGGTACGGTTCCAAAACCGCCGGTTCCGGTACCGCCACACGTCTCCGGTGCGGTCTCGGTTCCAAAACTGGCAGTCCGGGTTCCACTCCTGGAATCATTTTTTGTTTTCTATTTAAAGAATGATATATAGCTAAATATTTGTCTAAATGTAGTTATTTATAGAATAATGAAAATTAGATAGTACATAAGTCTCAACTATGTTTAACTTCTTGACGACTCTAAAAAAATGATGAGATGCAAAATAGTTTAGAAATCCTCAAAAAAGCTTATAAATCGTTTACCTACAAAAAATTATTTACATTGATTAAGAAAATTGTTAACTAAGGGGCTGTTTGGCAACTTCTGAATCGGTAAGTGCTGAACCAGTAAGAGGTCTGAACCATTAAGTGCTGAACCAGTAAGAGGTCTGAACCATTAATAGCTAGTATATTGCTTAACTATTCAGAGGCAAATGTCTGATCAATTCAAATAAGAAGTCTTAACCATTCAGACTCTGTATAATACTTAACCATTCAGAGGCAAATCTCTTAACCATTCAGACATCTGAACCATTAAGAGGCTGAAACAAACAGTCTGAACCATTAAGTGCTGAACCATTCAGACATCTAAACCATTAAGAGGCTGAAACAAACAGCCCCTAAGTCACTCATATGAGCTACCACTTCTTTTGGTTGCATCCATATAGTTTTGCAAATCCATGTGGTACTTTGCCTCTTGTTGGTGATGTCTTACCAAGAGTCAATCTCGAATGCAATCTAGTGTCTCTAGTGATTCAATACAGAAAATAATCCGGAAGTCCGCAAAATATTACCACTAGAACTAAATTTCTGCTTTACGACCTATGACTACTGTTGACATAGGCATAGATTGCACCTTTTAGCTAGCATTCTGAGTGACGGGAATATGTGCTCATTTTGCTTCCACCATTCGAAGACATTCAACTCATTTTCATTTTCTCCGTCATAGTCATATGGGACACCTTGGTACATCGCAAGTTTATTGTATGAACTTATTCTTTTACCACTTGCACTTGTAAACGTTGAGCTAGTCTTACTTTTCTTCGACAGGAGGCCACCAATTATATCTTTATCTTTCTTCACCTTTGATGCAGTACGAGATTGTGTTTTACTAGTTTCTGGAGGGTGAGCATACAAAATTTGGAATTCTTTACATAAAGACTCAAATAGATTAATGACATTATCTCTGTTAGTCTTCCAATCAATATGATGAGCATAATAATAATAATAATAATAATAATAATAATAATAATAATAATAATTTTCATCTAAGAAATAACTATAGTAATATTCCGTGAGAACTTTAAAATTCACAATTTTGAAGCGAGGATCACAAATAATATCAATTAAAAAATGTCAGGTATGTACAAGTAATTAATAATTACACTACTTATCTCATATGGGACACGTAGGAATACAAGAGTGGATCGGCTATAGTTTCATAAAAACATGTAGCAATGCTAATACACAAAGAAAAGAATATGTTACTCGTTGGTTTGTAAATGCGTGAGAAAGATGGAGTTGCATTATTAAAAACTTCTAACACGTTGGATATTTTTTCCACAAAAAAATTACTCTTTTTCTTAAAATTTCAAATTCATATTTGTGACTAAAAAATGTATTTTTTTTGTCTAACAAAAAAAATTTAAGATGACAAAGAATTCACAGTGACAAAATTAATATATTTTTTATGGGTTTTATGAGTTAATCTTAAGAGTTAGTAACTCCATGTTTTAATACTCCAATTCATTTTTTGAGAGAAATGTTTGATCCATGAGATTTCTTAAAATTAGTAAAATGTTATTAAAAATCTTTATAATTCAATTTGTAAAATATATATAAAATAAATTCATGAAAAATACATGGACAAAAAATCAATTCCTAAAAAATAAATAAATTTATTTTCCAAAATAAAAAAATTATAGTCACATTTGATATATTTCACAAAAAAATTTTATTTTTTTACAAATTTAAAACAATCACATTTATTTTACAGATGAGTTTTGCTTGAATTGTCAAGTGAAATTATTTTCAAAAAAGAAGGAAAATAAATATAGTTACATTTTTTCATATAAAATTTTTAAAAATTATTATGTAAAATAGTCACATGTATTTTGCACCCGAAATTTCTTGCGCTTGATATTAATTTGTATTTAAGAGAATGGTACATGTCATTACTATGTACCTCACTTTTAGACAGGTGGGATAATACATATACTCTGAGATTGACTCAACCATATCTTAAATTGTATTGCCTAGAACTTTTATTTATGGTAAGACGACTAAATATGATATGAAATGAAAGTATTTCCATAAGATTTGACTATTTTTTTAAATGATTGAATATTTAAAATAAATAAATTAGAAAAAAAGATTTTATACGGCTTTTGTACTTTATATTAATAACTTGATTTAATATTTTAATCAAAATAAATAGTTACTTATAATTTACTCAGTATATACTTATATTGTGTAATAACTCTCTACATTTATGCATAAAAATAAGAAAATTTGAATGAGCGAGGGTTTACTTCTTACGTTTTCATTTATGCAATCGCATATAGAAACTTCATAGGATGATATTCTAAGAGACGATATAGATTTATGCAAAGATTGTGAAAATGAGGACCTAGGCACAAAGATCATCAATAAAGCATGAAAAAGTGCATAGAAAATCCAAGGTGCAATAGCTAATAAGATCAAAACTACATTACAAGTAACAATCACACCAGAGAAAAATATAATTTCCAATTTGTAACTATTGTATTTTGATAAAATATTCGTGTGTTTAGGATTGAAATGAGCCTTTAAAAATTGAATGTTATATTCTTAAATGGCACACGCTTTATTTATGAAAAAATACATAAAATTTGGAAATAATAATGAGTTTTTAATTGATAAAATTCTTTAATATTTACGTGTTTAAAGATAATACCATAAATATTTAAAGGCAAATATGTGTGTGTGTGTGTGTGTGTGTATAAAACAAAAATACCATCCTAGAACATTACACTAATTTTTACATTGCTATCACTTGCTAATTCTTTTAGACCACATCTTGGGTAGGAGAGAATGATAATTTCTTCTCACTGTGTGAAGCCAAATTCCATTACATGAGATTTTATCAACACCATTCCCCAATGGTCAAACAATGCATTAGGAACTACTCTCACAGATCCACCTACATATTGTGGAATCACAACGACTATAAGGGGTGTATTTAATTTAGATTTTAAAAGATTTTGATAGATTATTTAGAATATATGAATTCTGTAAGTTCATTGGATTGTTTTAAATTTACGCGAAGTTAGCTAGATGCTAATATATTCTATCAAAGGATTTTAAAGATTTATACTTTTCCCTAGCACCTCCCAATCTCAGTTTCATTTCAAATGTATGTTTAAGAAACACAAAATAGGAAATGATAAAAATGAGACAGATAAAGCATACCCATGCCAATAAAATAAATCTCTGAAATTAACACTTTAACCGTGCACAATAATGACCAAAAGAAATAGATAGAGGTCTCTAATAAACAGGGGGTTTGAGAATTTTGGCATTTTTCGCTGGGCAGTGCGAAACTCCCGACTGGACTGTCCAAATAGGTCGAGTGGTTTTCTCTTGCCCGGATTGAATCCGGCCTCTCAAAGCCAGACATCAAGTTGTTCTGAACGTGAGCCAAGAACACGACTCCCTGGCTGGTCGCTAAAATTTGATCTTGCCGGAAGTTCCCATTGAAGTTGATCTTAGGAGGCGGCGCCATAAATTGCTTGAGAATTGCTATACTTTATCCTCCGAGAGTTCTTTCTTCTCATTTCAACACTGTGAGCTCTATTAATTTCTTGAAATCCAGTGCACGCTCGAAATATGATATAGGTTATTTTCAACACTCATATTCTAGACAGTCGACCTTTTTGTAATAAAAGAAAAAATTGGTCATTCTCAGATACCTAGGAGCTGAAAGAAAATCACCATCTCAATGGAAGTTCCGGTTGAAGAGGCCATTGCTGCCCTCTCCACATTCTCATTAGAGGTATTTGAATGCAATTTACTCTGAAATTTGTGATTTCAAATAATGTCTTTCGTATTGTTCATTCTATTTCCATTTTATCGCTTTGTTTTCACTTAATTCTATGGTTAGGATAATCAACCAGAAGTTCAAGGGCCAGGGATCTGGGTTTCAGTTGAAGGAGGTGCCACCAGCAGCCCAATCCGTAAGTTTCTTTTTTTGCCATTTTCAATATCTGTGTTTGTGGTGTGTGCTTTGGATATGGTTTCTTTCAGCAATTTTAAATTTCATGCATACTTTGATATGGGCATGATGTCTTATGTAGAGTACAGCGATGTGTCTGCATATAGGTTGTCACTTTCTGAAGACACCAAAGCTATTAATCAGCTGGTATGCACATCTTTCTTCCCGTGATTCACCATTGTCACGTAACAGTCTGCGTTGAATGTTGTTGGATCTGTACACTACACACTGACAAAATCTGATATGCTGCATTTTTTAAAATTACTGATAGTAGTGCTCAAATTACATGCAGGATGCACTTATTCAAGAAGGAAATGAAATCACATCTGTGCTCTATACATATCAGAGTTGTGTCAAAGCTCTTCCTCAGGTTGGTTACAACATACAAGGATTAACTGGTTTGGTATAGGTACAAAAATAAACTGGTTTGGTATAAATGGTGGCACTATATGTAATTGAAGTATTGAACCACACATTTACTTCCATATCTATTTGGCATGATTTGTTTGGTGGTCTATATGTTATGATTGAATGATTTAGGGACTTTTTGTGAAATTATAGTCATAACTAAATTGATGAGAAGACAGGTTTATGCAATTTTCAACGTGTTTTTATTCTATGATTTGTTCTTTAAGTACTATAAGTGCAGTCAATGAGGAGATTTGATGCAGTTTCAAATTCTTCCCAATTTATGATTTTAGT